GTTGTGTGTTTGTAACTAGAGCTTTCATGATCATCTTAGTTATCTTTTGCGGCTTAGTAAGCTTTATGCAACATATGAAATTAAGTATATTGTGAATCTATGATTTCATTATAATCAGTATCAAGATGATTGAATAATCATTTTGATAATAGTTGTTCTGGTTGTTGTTATAGTGGTTGATATATTTTTGTTTGTGTTCCAATAATGACATCTTTCCTTTTTAACATTGAACATCAACAACTTATGACTTACAACTTGCATCTTTAAGCAAACGGCCAACCAACCAGCTTGTTTAAACATATGATTCTTTTCTTATATAGCCAAGCAAAATAGAGTCGTTGGCTATTTGAAAAAGAGTCGTTATAAATAATACTGCTATGTCCTTATCTCTTCCACACTTTAAGTTAGTGGAGAGGTAGTGGAATAAGATTTTTTCGTACTGTGTACTATTGTACCATGTTACCGTTATATTCTTTCCTTCTGTACTTCAGAGGCTTCTGCGAGCATGAGGTTAGAAGCATGAATATAACATAAGGTCTTCAAAACTTCAAGTCTTCAGGATCTTCAGAACTGTGTCTTTAGAGTCTTCAACACTTGGTCGTGAGAACCCTTTGTAGTGAACCTTGGTTCAGAAGAGCTTCAAGTCTTCAGAGTCTTAAGAGTTGCATCTTTAGAGTCTCCAACACCTGGTATTGAGAACCTGTTGTATATAACCTTGAACCTTTGGAACTTCAAGTCTTTGGAATCTTCAGACCTTCCTTCTTTAGAATCTTTAGCACTTGGTTCATTAAGAATCCTTGTCTTTAGAACCTTGTTATTAGAAACACAAAGTCTTCAGCATCTGGACTTATTTAGAAACGTTGCCTTCAGATCTTTTAACTTTGTATTCTTTGAAACAAGTTGTCTTTTAAAAACTAAATTTTTAGCATCTGGACTTCAGTAGAAACTTTGTCTTCAGATATTCTAACTTTGTTTCTTTGGAACACACTGTCTTTTAGAAACGTGAGTCTTTAGCATCTAGACTTAAGTGACAACTTTTGTCTTCAGATCTTCTGTCTGTTTCCTTAGAACACGTTGTCTTTAGAAGCTTGAGTATTCAGCATCTGGACGTAAGTAGCAACTTCTATCTTTAGATCTTCTGACTGGTTTCTTTAGACAAATATCAGGGCTTACACTTCAGAGCCTTCTGGAGTGTCTTGCTACTATTCAACAGAACTTATGTAGCACAAAAGTGGAACTAATTCTCTTCAAATGTCTTGGCCACGCCAACCATCAAAATTAGAACATGTTTGTTAAATACTCAACAATAATAAACATTAGTATAACAAAATTGTTCATACACTCATACTCATTTGTTATCATCAAAATTCAGAGATAATATTGTAGAACCAAATCTTCTTCTTACAGAACTTCCCTTGACAGTTTTTGTTCAAGAGACGTAACCTTCTAAGAAGACTCTAGAAGTTGTAACTACTTATGGAGAGTTAAAGAACTTTGTTTCTGGCTATGAGATTATACCTTATATGATCAAGGAAACTTTTGATGAGTTTAGAAAAGATAATGCGTTTGTAAGACAACGTCTGGACAAACAGAATGAGAGATTCAAGGCTTAAGATGAAACCAACTTTATGATGACATCCATGCTCAAGGATATCATGTCAAAACTTCATATAGCTCCTCATCCTCCTGCTCCGCATCCTTAGTCCTTTTGTTTTACCTTTGTTTTCAAAACTTATATGTTTTTGTTTTGCTTTTCCAATTTATACTTTATCTGCTTTCTATCATTGAAGTTCAATTTTTGGTTAATCAATTCTAAGTCTTTTTTTTTTATTTCTGAAAAATGGGGAGAAAGTGAGATGATTTTGATATATCTATTTCTCATAACTTATCCCATACATGTTCTGATACTTTTGTCTCTAAAATTGTTTGACTTATCAGGAACTTTGAGAAAGTTCACTGAGTTTTTCGAAATAGGAAAATTTCAGAAACTCTGAAGAGATATCATGTTTTCAAATCCAGAAGTCTTTGTTCAACTAGGTTAATTCATAATCACAAGTTTTGATACTTCATCAAAATTAGGTTCTATTTGTTTTGATAGCAAGCCAGAATGTGAGATAATCAACCAGACAATTCTATTCAGACTAATAATAAACCAGGCATTCCAGACAGATTCTCATGATGTTATTAACCAGACATTCTAGTCAGACTCCGATAGTGTTCTAATCATAAAAGTATTCCTTTTGTGCTGATTAAGTTGTTTATACCTCAAAATTATTTCATAAATCTTGAACTCGGGAGAAGCCTCTGAACAAGCTGAGATAAGTTTTGAGAGTATAAAACTCAGGGGGAGCTGTTTAGCTAACTCTGATTTGTTTTATGTGATTAAACTTGTAAAAATTATTCATCAAAATACATGGTTTTGCCATCATCAAAAATGAGGAAATTGTAAGAACAAGATTTGGTTCTGCATCTGACCTTTAGTTTTGATGATAATAATACATTATTTGTTAGAGAATAATTTTGTACCTTAATATTTTTGTCTAGTGTGTAGATGATAGAATGACGTGTGACATCATCAGTTTTTTTGGAAGAATGAAGAAATAATAAAATTCTCTGATTCATTTATTCTTTTGTAAAGAGTTGTAAAGCAAGGGACTTTTGTTTATTAACTTGCTAAAAACACTTTTGTGTTTATCATTGTATTTTAACTTGTGTAAATCTGTTTTCTTAGAAGCATATTGTAAACACACCTCTTTGTATTTTAACTTTTGAGTTGATTATTCCTTGAGAGAATAGAGTATAATCATAATTTCTCAAGAATACATTGACGAGTAGTCTTTGTGATTTGTAATCAGTTTGATTATAGTGGATTAAGTTCTTGTTGAGAAAGGAAAAATAACCTTGGCGGTGGATTGAATTAACTCCCTAAACAATGAACTAGGATAAAAATAATTGCGTTTATTTATTTTTATTCTTGTTTCATCCTTGTTTGTTTGGGGAAAAAAATTCATTTATAGAAACCCAATTCAAACCTTATTTTCTTGTGTTTCTTGTACCTTCAAAAGGTACAACCACCATCAATGTCATGTCTAATCTAATAATATAAACTATCTCTTCGGAAGAATAGTGGATCTAGGAAACCATAGATTTCCAAAAGTGAGTAGCAAATCATAATCTCTTAGGTAGTGTAGAGTCGTCTCAATGTCTTGATTGCATATAGGACAAAGATTTGTTTGGAGCATACCACAATGACGCAACATCGATCTCGTAAGAAAGAATTTATGTAAAACCGTTCAAAGGAAAAAATAAACGTTCTCAAAAACAAGATTATATCATAACCACTTTCAAGAATTATTATCTGTAGTATTCTTCTTCCCAAATAAATAAATTTATTTGATAAATTCACACACACACACACATATATATATATATATATATATATATATATATATATATATATATATATATATATATATATATATATATATATATATATATATATATATATATATATATATATATATAATTTGATTATGTATACTCTATTTTTAATGTAAAATAAAATTTTTTTATAAATGATTTAAGTAATGTATTGATTATACTCTATTTTAAATGTAAAATAAAAAAAATTAAATTATACTACTTCCGTCCTTAATTATAAGAACCTATTGAATTTTTTCTTATACTTTTTTATAAGATTCTCTTCCACTTTCAAAGTGTATTAATTATTTTTTTACAATATTTAGTAAATACAATTATATAGACATTAACTATTTCTCTCTTTTAAGGATAAAATTTATAAAATTATACAAAATAATTAATAAATTTATTACTCTAACAAACTTTATTAATTCATGCAATTTACTCAATAGATTCTTATATTTAAGGACGAAGCGTTTCACAATAAGTATTTTCTTTGAGATTTTCACACTTTTTAAGATAATGATTAATTATGTTTATTTCAATGATATTAAAACAATCTTATTAATAATAAATAATAGAATAATTATATAAATTAAAATATAATAAAATAAGAGTAAATCAGTGAAAAATAATAATAAATATCACATTAATATTTTAAAAAGATAAATAATTAAAAAAAAACACCTATCCTAAAATGGAGAAAATATTAAGCTAATATATATCAGTAAAGGTTCTTTCTTTTATTTTTTACAAGTACATGAATGAATAAGACATGGCGGCGACGTATGGAAGAGAGAGAGCACGGGTTTTACATTTACTTGAAACTTTTTCTTTTTCTTTTAAATCAAAAATCTTTTCCCATTCTTCTCGTGAAAGTAACAAATTCAGAGTCCCCTTAAATTCATTGTTTCCAATTACGTTCTGAGTCATTCTATTTCATCATAGGTCAAACATAGAAACACTTCAAAATATCACAAAAAGCTAAAGTAACGTAAAAAATTTGCCACCTAATCCAACTAGTTGAGATGGTAAGCATTTTTTATTTTTTTTAAATACATTTAATTATTAATGTATATAATTCATATATGAATTCATATATGAATTAGATATATTGATAATTAAATGTAAAAAAAATAAAAGTTGCTTTGTAATAATGTCCAAAAGGTAGAAATTATGTAACTGTTAATTTTTTGTGGAAGAGTTTTATTATTTGCAATTGCTTATCTAATTTATATCAAAAATATTTTGACACGTCATCAACTCCACCAAATTACCCGTTCAACAAGTTTCCCTCCAAACGACGACGTTCAACAAATTTCCCTCCTATTTAATCCAAACCTTAACCGCTCTTAATTAACTTCAATTCCAAATTCCAAAAATCGCTTTCTCTTTCGGTTTTCATTCAAGTTTCATTGAAAAGTTTCAGAATCGAAATTCATACGTAATCATTCACCATTTCGCATTTCAAAATTTCAATTTCAATCTTCGTTTTTGTTAAATCAATTATGTATATGTATAACTGAATCGTGATGTGTTTGTTGAATCAGGGTTTTGTAGCTGAAATTAGGGTTTAAAAAATGCCTGCTGAGAATTGGGACGGTGAAGGCGAAGCATTCGTCGAAACCGATCCAACCGGAAGATTCGGTCGTTACAGTGATTTACTCGGCTATGGTGCTGTGAAGAGAGTTTATAGAGGTTTTGATCAAGAAGAAGGGATTGAAGTTGCATGGAATCAAGTTCGTCTTCGGAACTTCAGCAACGATCCGGTTCTAATCAATCGGCTTCATTCCGAAGTTGAATTGCTCAGGAATTTAAGCAACAAGTTCATCATTGTTTGTTATAGTGTTTGGAAAGACGATGATCGCGGTAATATCAATTTTATTACCGAGGTTTGTACGTCGGGGAATCTTAGGGATTACCGGAAGAAACATCGGCATGTTTCGATTAAGGCGTTTAAGAAATGGTCGAAACAGGTTCTTGAGGGGTTGGAGTATCTTCATACGCATGATCCTTGCATTATTCATAGGGATCTTAATTGCAGTAACATCTTTGTTAATGGAAACATTGGTCAGGTTAGTTTGTTGATTTGGTATTTTGTTGTTGTTTATGGATGAATAGAGTGCATGTTTGGTTCTGCGGTGACAAAATTAGTAGTTTTGTAAATTGATTTTTGATTGATCTATCTTTAGATAGGATTACCAAAAGAGTAGTTTTTCATCAATTTATGTTTGGAGAGTTTGTATTATTAGAGTTGTTTTTATGTTTGTATATATGTTATAAATTTGAGATGTGATTCTATGCCAATGCATAAGCTAGAAATAGTAAGTAGCTTTTAGGTAGAATTTATTTTGGTACTAAATCAATTTTAATGTCATAAAGAAGCCAAACATTTATGGTTAAAAACTCTGTGGTAAAGCGTTTAATGACTGAGTTTATTGTAGTCCATTAAAATTATATAAAAGAAAGATAAACAAGCATAAGGTCCTTAGACTGGAAAAACATTGGAATTGAACACTAGCTATAGCCAAGATCACATTTATGAGGAACATTGATAGGAAACACAACTGAATAATGACTTAATTTAAGTAATTTATGCTTCCAAGGGTTTGACTTTAGATAGATATTTCTGAATATTTTCCCCATAAGTAATGCATAGTTTTATTTGTAGATTTTGTTCCTCTAGTTTTATTTGTAGATTTCCTCTAAAGTGAGTAGTGACTATAGAGTAAGTGAAAGAATGAAGAGTTGGTATTTCACTATATTTATGATCTGTCTTACATGTGCATGGGCATATGATATCAACTCTTGATTTAGTCATTAGATATTACACACTTTAAAGTGAGTTGCTCACACTAAAGAAGTTCGGTCCTGACTTGCGCGCCTTAGGTTGAAACTGAAAGAGCTTTGACTCTTTAGTAAAGTGAGAAATTTCGCTTTAAAGTGATTTGTCACTTAAAGAAGTTTGGTCCTGACTTTTTTGAAATTAAAATAGATTTGACTCCTTAGTAAAGTGAGAAAATCAAGGATTGATATTGTAGCCATTTATGATTTGTTATGCATATTCATATATACTCCCTTTAGTCCTATTTATAAGAAAAAGTTCAATTTATACTTTTCTTATAAATAGAACATGGGGGAGTATCAACTATTGTTTTACTTAACAACAGTTGATATTACTCAATTTGAAGTGAGGTGTTTACTTTAGAGAAACTTTGTCTGGTTGAAAGATGATCTTGAAGCAACTGCAATTGTCATACTAAAACATAAATAATATTATTCTTTGATTTAATAAATTTGTTAAAGTTAGTTTTTCAATTTGAATTTTTATAGGTGAAAATTGGTGATCTGGGATTGGCTGCCATAGTGGGAAGAAGCCATGCAGCACATTCAATTTTAGGGACTCCTGAGTATATGGCACCCGAACTGTACGAGGAAGATTACACTGAGATGGTGGACATATATTCTTTTGGAATGTGTTTGCTTGAAATGGTTACAATGGAGATACCATACAGTGAATGTAACAGTGTAGCCAAGATATACAAAAAGGTCACAATGGGAATCAAGCCTCAAGCCTTGAGCAATGTCAGAGATCCAGAAGTGAAAGCGTTCATCGAGAAATGCATAGCACAACCAAGAGCAAGACCTTCAGCCACTGATCTTCTTCAGGACCCTTTCTTTTTTGAACTCAACAATGGTGAAGAATCATCAACATCTATCATTTCTTAAGGATCCTTTCAATTTTGAACTCAACAATTGTGAAGGAGGAATCGACATCTATCACTTGAGTTCCTTCATTCACACATATTCATTTGTTGCCACCCTTATGTCAATTATGTACCGTTTACTTCCAATTACTATCTTACTTTCAACTGTATTTTGTTGTGATTGCACGAAATCACAAACATCTCTCTTGTCCGATCAAGATCAGACAATTCACATTTCAGGTTTAGTATCTTAGATTTCCAACAAATCAGATTTTGTTTTAAAATCTGAACTGTCTCATCTTAATCGGACAACTGAGATGTGTGGTAATCCAAATTCCTTACAAATATACCATACAAATACCCACATTTGACTTGTTAGTACATGTATTTCAACTACATTTTCATTTCACTTATAGTATACATAACCTCATAAATGGATTGAACTATAGACTTTTCTAGTTTCCATATATCTGTAATGTGCATAACTTCATAATGGTAGTGTTAAAACCTACTTAATGATACATAGTCAATGTTTAAAACGACTCAAAACTGTCCTATTTATGTCAAGTTGGTACAACTGTTGTAGCAAATATGTGCTGGAAAGCACCAACTGTCTAATCTATTGGCTGTCTTAGTTATACTTTTTTAATTAGTGGCCGTGGAAGTTGATATTAAAGCAAGAAAACGGAAAAGTAGTGTTACCTAACTGATTACAATGAAGTTGTATTGGATCTCATATTGTTAAGATTATTTGCAATCTAATAAATGGATCCATTTTTCAAAAAAATAATATTAGCAGTATATTCTTTGACACATATTTTAAGTTCTAATATGATGTTTTAAAAATAGTTTTTGGCCTGAGTCAAAATGATTTTCTACTAACGCCTATTTAATATTTTATTTTCTCTCTCTATTTTTCTCTTTCTATAACATTATTAACATACCACTTCTATCAAATTACTCACTTTATATTTTAAAATGAACACATTTATTATATGGGTTAGGATTAGGATTCTCTATTTAAAAAAAATGATGATATTCATTTAAAAAGACAAATATACAATGAAAGTTGAAAAAAATTAAGTAATAATAGACTCGACTTAATAGAGATTTACTATTTTTTGTGTCTTTCATAATAGAGTCTTTCATTTTAATTTTTAAAATAAAGAAAATATTAACTCCACACATATAAGGTGTCTACTAAACATTTTCCTTAATTTCATTTTATGCTTTGTTTATTTAAGATGTTTTGGAAATTGTTTTTGGCTTGACTCGAAAGGGTGTTCTTTATTATTTTTATTGTATGTTTTTATTCTTTCATGTGGTGAAATACTTGTCACTCATGTGTCATCATGAATCATAATTCTCATTTTTGTTTCATCTTTGATTATATATATATATATATATATATATATATATATATATATATATATATATATATATATATATATATATATATATATATATATATATATATATATATATATATATATATATATATATATATATATATATATATATATATATATATATATATATATATATATATTGATCAAAATTTGAAAGTGAGTTGAGATGATGGAGTCTGTTTGACTGAAAATAAGAGGAGAGGCGTGGAGGTTACCTGCAAGACACTCTGACGATCTAGTGCGAAGGAGTGCAAATAGATACAAGAAAGAGAGTAGGATTTTTCGAATGAATATTGAATATCTGACCCTCACAAGTGTGAGGATTTATATAATGCCCCGACGCGTGCGTAGTCATTGGTTCCTATTTTTGGGCCTAGATGTTAGGTTTCTTAAAAATAGGTAACTGCCAAGATCTGGTCATAACGGGCAGTCGTGCCCGTAACTAGCCATTTCTTCGAGCAAGGGTGAGATGACGGGCATACGTGTTATGAGCGCCTTCTTGGTTGTCTGCTCGACGAGTAGCGGGCAGACCTGGAATTGGATGTTGTTGTGGGAAGACACATGGTCAGGGCATTGTTGTCCACGACATTCTCATGGTATGGTCGACCGAGGATCAGAGTTAGCGGGCCATAGCTGTTTGGGCCATGCTGAGGTAGAAGTAGATTGAGTCAACTTTAGTCATTGGACCGATCCAGAACAGGAGCCCCAAGCCATTGCCTCTAGACAGAGGGGCAATGACTTAAGATGTGCTCGCGGTATTTTTCAGGGAACTGCTTCTTCTGAGGATCTTGAGCGTTGTTTCGAGGAGAGGAACAACTAATTAGAATTTGGAGAGTTTGTGTGCCACGCTTGCTTTGGGCCACGTGCTGTCAGACCAATAATGATGGCTAGTCTAGGAACTAGGGCACAATGATGATGTCCCTTAGGTTTCCTTTGGCGCGTGCCCGCTCACGTGCCAACAAGCTGCATTATAAAAGGGGGAGAGGGAGCTTTATTTTCACTTTTCGCTTGCTCTTTTTCTACTCGTTTCTGCTAGTTCTGCACGAAATCTTCATTCTTCGTCAAAGTTTTTACTCGTTCTGCCGTTTACCGCTGGGATTTCTGACCATTCCGCCGTTAATCTTCTCTAACTCGATAAGTTTCTTGATTTCTCCCTGTTTCTGTGGAATTTGCTTCTGTTCTAGGTTAGATTTTCTGTTTCTTTTTCCATAAATGCATGTGGCTAGGGTTTAGAGTAGTTTATTGTGGAACTCTCCAACGGTATATTGGTGTTTAGGCGGTGGTTTTTCCACGTGAAGGTTCTGGCTCCGTCACGGGTTCTTCAAGAAAGTCTAGCGTCAGGGCCGATAATGACGCGTGGTGGTGACTCCTCCGACGAGGTTGAGCCATTTATGGGTTTTGGCTGCGATCTTCATATGTTCCTGATGAACTTTTAGGAGTGGCTTAACCCAGATGCGTCGGGGAGGTCGTTGTCTGCGTGGTTTAAGTTCCAGCTTGATGTGCACGCGCCTTATGTGCTTCAAGAGATGGTCGTGGTGCGTGATCTTAGCTGTCGAGTGAGGGCTCTAGTCGGGGACAGGGTCTTCGTTCCTTTGAACGACCTTTCACTTGATTAGTGGTGGAAGAGTCGATTTGATTGACGTTGAATTCAATTTTGTCCTCTGTTTTTCAGGTATGATGGCCAATAGTACCGATGACGAGCTCATGAGCGAGCACAACAATTCCGTACAAATTTCATCCGAGCGTATGTCAACTGAGGGGTGTACCTCAGGGGCGCGTGATCTTAAACCGAACTTACCAGATAAGGGCTCAGATGTGCAGGAGCACGCATGCAGCCCCAAAGGATCTTGTAAGTGTTTGTTGGCAGTAATTTTGGTAAAACAATGACTTGATAATGTTTTGCTAAATGTCTTGACATTTGAAGCAAACTGTTTTGAATGATGTCAAAGCAGATGTCTTGACATCTGCCTCCTGAGCTGAATGCAACTACATCTCTGTTTAAGTTTTCTGTTTCCTATTTTTATGCGCGCCATTATTCAGGATTTGTGACTCATAGCTTGTGAAAAATATAGAGGAATATTTTTCTATTTGAATTATATTTATGGATTATATCTTGGCCTGTTTTCATGGAAATATTCAAAAGATTGGAATATTTGTTTTTCAGCCCAAGTCCACTGCTGCGCCTTTATAAGGACTTGCTTCCTTGTTCAAAAAACTGCAACTTTTGAAGAAGAATATATTTTTTCTGTTTTAGAAGTCTAAGCCTTTTTAATTGTAACACACTCTAAGTATTGGTTTAATACTTGAGTTGTAATTTGAGTTGTTAATTGTGCATCATTCATAAACTTTTAAGTATTGAATGATTGAAGTCTTTAAAACTTAATAATTCTGTTGTTCTTCACTGTTAGTGATTGAAGGGATTTGTGGAGGGCCTCATACCTAGGTGTGTCTTAGGTAGAAGTATATCACATGTAGTGATTAAGTGATTAGATTATAAACGGGTTATTTATTAAGGGTCTATGAATTGATACTATTTAGTGGACTTGTCCCTGGCTTGGTAGCCTCTAGAGTAGGTGTTGTTGTACACTGAACTGGGTTAACAATCCTTTGTGTTTTTACTGCTTTTATTATTGTTGCACTTTACATTGTCCTCAGATATTTGTGTCGTGACATCTCCTTCGACATTATATATCTGATACCAGAATTTCAATTCGTACCAGAGCAGGCATCCTACTCTATATCTGGGTGAGATCCAGGGAAGATACTTGTAGCGGTAGAAATGTTTAAGACTAAGCCATTGGATTGACTAGACTTATACATATCAAAATAAAAATCGCCACCACGCTTTATTGTTTCCAAAGGAATGGGAAAAGAGTGAATAACCCAAAAAGAGGGAGAAAGATTCTAGGTAAGGGGGTTGGTTATGCAAAGGGAAGGTATTAGCATCCTAAACATCTACGGTACTCCGTATGAACCTCTTTGTAAAATCCGTATATTTTGGCTATATAAAAAAAGTTGTATAAAAAATGGATGGTGGAGGTGAGAAAAGAAATATATTTTTTATGATTTTTGCACCCATCGCGGTTGCGAACCTTTAGTGCCTACGTACCATCTTTTCGTGCAATAGGGGATCAGGGTACACGTAGTTCCTCTTTTAAAAATTTTAAAACACAAATGTGTTGGTTAATTTTATGAGATAAAACATCATCGTCATTGTCCGTGTGGAAAACATACCTACTACCCACAATCATGAGAAATGAGAATTTACATCATCTCAAAGTGGAAGATATGGCTTGGATTTTAAAATCAACAATGCCTCACTCAACACCCAAGTGGAAAATATCTCTCTTCACTACATATTGTAGAAGTATAGTTGTTTGCATCACTACAAGGATTGACAAGAGTTCAATCTTTTGAGAAAAATTTAAAGATAAAAACCAAAGTGGCAAAATGGTTTGAAATGAGATTGATTGACTTTTAGTCTTCTCAAAAAAATATCAAAGTATTAATAAGTTTATTTATGAAAATGTTTGAAAATGCATGGACCTAAGTCCAAGCTTATTATGAAAGTGGTTCAAGTTTAAAACAAGAAGAGTTTTCAAAAGGAAGGAGA